CCTACTTACCACGTTCCCATGATGCTGCCCTGGAAGTAGGTAGCATTGGCGGATTTAGTGTTGATTTTGCGGATTCAGGGTGTTGGGGTGTGAGGTGCTGGTATAGGTTCGGCAACTTGAGGAGGCTTTTTGTGGTTCTGGTGCCATGCAACCCTAGAAGCCCAGTTACCTATATAATGGGTTCCTGTCCTTCAGTCCCTATATAAACCTATACTATCTATAACCCAAGGACCTGCTATATGGGTACCTGGGCTTCTAGGGCAAGCTTGCCAGAATACATGTAGATGCCTGAACGATTTGGAATGTTGTTCCGTCGCATCTGCAGTGGTGCCTACCCTATGAGATGTTTTGTATGCCATCCCTTACGGAGCATTAAAGGAGGCTCGGACCATCTTTGCGACAAGCCCTTGAGCCCCACATCCAAAAATCCTGGTATGCCTTCTCCTGGGTGAATAATGCGTCACAATCTCCTCCGTGAGAAGCCTGTACACCCGAGGCCCTAAACCCATTTGAACCATATTCTAAACTCCTTAAATGGGGCTTCTATAAGGGAATATATTGGGGGGCATTACCGGGGGGAATACATTGGGGAGTACTTTCGGGTTCATTCAGTGGGATACTAGGAGTTTAGACCCTAAACCATTAATCCTAGACCCTAACCCGCATAATAGAGGTATCAAGTTCTGTACATGAGTCCCAAGATGGCAACCCACACCGTGCTTGTAACCTCACATGGCCCCACTTGAAATGGCTTAGGGTTCAGGGTTTGTTTTGTCTTTAGTCCTAACTCATCAAGGCGCATGTTCACCTTTGAAGGCTTGCCCCAAGGGTCCACGTACCGAATAATCAGCTACTTACCCAAAATATGTACTACAATTGCTAGTACCAGAACCCAAGTTCCCAATCATTGGGTATGTGGACCCCAAACCCTGAACCCAATACATCCATATGTACAGATCTCTTTTTCCCCCTCTTAAGAGGAACCCAATTATTGGGCACATGGACCTTTCGGGTTAGGATTTTGGATTTCGTGTCCCTAAAACCTAAACCCTAAAGGTCCGAGTACCTGATAATCCTATACTTCCCCAAAACCTATACTATAATTCCTATTACCCAAATCCCAAGTACCTAATTATTGGGTACATGGACCCTCTGGGTAAACCAAGCCCTACACCCTAAACCCTATACCCCAACCCCTAAAGTCCAATTTGTCGCGTTGCTTTGCCAGCCACGGCCTCCAAGCCAAAGCCTAAACCTCGATATTTATGGGCTTTTGGGTTTAGGGTTCAGGGCTTTTGGGTTTAGGGGTTTAGGGTTTAGGGTTTAGGGTTTGGGGTATAGGGTTTAAGTTGCAGGGTTTAGGGTTTAGGGTGTAGGGTATACTCCGCCAGGCTGAACACAAAGCTCGAGTACGGCATCTTCCCCAAAACCTGTACTGTAGCTCCTTTCCACGTAAGCCAGTATTGGGTACTTGGGGACCCAGGGAAACGCGAAGAACTAAACATGAACCTCCGATATGCTTGCTACGTTCCGCACTGGAGCCCCCAAAGAGTCCATGTAGGTATATATAGTATATACAGTATAGGGTTTAGGGTTTGGGGCTTAGGGTAGGTATATCGTATATACCTACGTAGGACCCAAAGTGGCTCTTACATTGTTATAGTGCGGCCCGAATGTGTACTAAATCACTACATGGACCCTTCTGGACCGCAGTAAACTATAAAGCGGACACCCAAAACCCTGAACCTCACCGTAAGCTCGTTACTCCTTTCTCTTTCACCCTAAAGTTTAGGGTTTAGAAGTTAGGGTTAAGGGTTTAGGATGCTTAGTGTGTCTGAGCCCTAGACCCCACTCCTTCAGGCTCTTGCAGAGAAGGAGAATTTCCTTCGCCAGGCTGAGGAGGTAAAGCAAAAGGCCCTTGCTGAATTCCAGCTGGTTAGGGTTTAGGATTTATCGTTTTGGGTTTGGGTACCCTTTTGGTTCATGAGAGTGCTTTGGTAAGCTCAATCCCTAAAGTAAGGCCCCTATAAGAGTCAAATAAGCGTGCTGGATTTTGGGGTTTGGTAGGCAAATTCTTTCGTTTCTTGATGGACGGTCGTTAGGGCCCCTGTTGGATCCTCTCTTGGTTCCACCTTATTTGGGGGAGTGTAGTTGCGTACGTAGGATTTGTTGACCGCGTGTGATGTAGCTTGAGATAATTGTGTGAACCCTTACCCTAAGGGTTCAAGTACCTAATAATCCTAGACTTCCCCACAACCTGTACTATAATTACTATTACCCAAATCTCAAGTACCTAATTATTGGGTACATGGACCCTCTGGGTGAACCCTAAACTCTATACTGGAAGGCTGAACTTCATATATCTGGATCGTTGTGGCCTGTTACGACATTTGCCTGAAGTCCAGCCTGCCCGTGTCGTGCTGCAGTTACTCAAGCGTCTTGTGTGAGTATGTTGGTAACAGGATCTACTGCAACCCTAAACCCTAAACCCTCAAGCCTTAAACCCTAAATTAAACCCTAAGCCCCAAACCCTAAACCCTGAGCCCTAAACTAAACCCCAAAGCCAGTCATGGCCCAAGTCGTTACAGCTCCTGCCCTGCCTAAGAGCTTTAGAACCTAGGTCTGAACTCACGTCCTACCTAGAGTGCCTTCGTAGGCTAGAAAAGCAGTAAGGATGCCAAGATATTGGGTACAAAGCCCTTTTATCGCGCACATGGGTCGCTACACTGCGCATCTAAGTATAATACTGCGTACTTTGGGCGCTAATGTCTATCAATAGTCCTTATATACCATATTAAGCACCTTTCCAGCACTAGTATCAAATACGTCCATATCAAATACGTCCCCCTCTTATATATATATATATATGGAGCCTCTTAGTCTTATCGACATGATATTAGGGGTAGGGTGGTTGGGTATTTAGCATTAGTATCTCTAAGCTCCGGATCACCAATTCCTAAACCCTAAACCCCTGAACCCTAAACCCTAAACCCTGAACCCCTAAACCCTATGAACCCCTTAAACCATACACCCTTAAAAACTTATGAACCGGGATTATTGGGACGCCCAGGGCTAGGTACTGCATGGTGGCAGGCTCGTGAAGAGCAAGAACAGTTCATACGAGAGGCCGAAGAGGCCAAACAGAAGGCGGGTTTCAGGTCTAGGGTTTAGGGTTTAAGCTTTAGGGTTTAGGAATTGGAGGTTTAGGGTTTGGGGTGTTGTGGGCTCGTTCGGGGGGGGGGGTAGGATTTAGCGTTCTGGGAGTTAAGGGATCAAAGGTTTAAGGTATCGGGGTTTTGGGCATAACGGTTTAGCGGCTTGGGCGTTCGGACTTGAGGGTTTAGGGTATAGGGGTTTGAGGTTTCGAGGTTCAAGATTTGAGGATTTGGGCTTTGGGGTTCCGGACTTGTGGATCTAAAGGTTCAGGGTTCCCCTACTATGCGCGGGTTACCCCTGCAATTAAGGTCAGTTAGGGATATTTAGGCCTAATTAGCCAGGGGAGAACCAGGGGGGGTTAGTGTAGAGGGGGGATGGTAGGGGAATCTATTTCGATCATGGGATGGAAGCATTCTAGTGCAAGACGCTTCACGTCGATTTTGGCAGTGGCCGCTGCCCTCTAAGATTTGGGGCAGTACATGATTTTGATTAGTCCCCTGGGTGACAATCTACCGTCCAAGAGGATTTGACTTGGAACAAATCATGCCAAAGGTATTAGAGTGCATTAGCATAACATGCGCATCCAACTTGTCGGAAAAGGCCAGACATGGGCATGTAAAATGATTGATTTTGTGGGCCCTCGGTTCCTTGACATAGGGTTGGGTATTTACAGTTATTGTCCTATATATAGGCGGCAACGCTGGCCCGCCGTGTGATGTAGAAGCCATGAGAAGCCTGAACATGTTTTCACATATTATCCTTCCTGCATAATGCTTGTAGATCCGTGTACATATCCCTAGGGATCCAGGTATGCAAATTATACTTACATTGGGCGCTGAAGTCTGTAAATATCACTCACCTCACCCGACCTCACGCCACATGGTGGTTTATGTAGGGAGTGGTACCAAAATTGCCCTAAATTGGGGGCTGACAGTATTCTAAATTACCCTGGTGAAGGCTTGGGATACTCAGTTAGTAGGTTGTAATTGAGGTCATAAAAAGGGCAACCTCAATCAGGATTATCAGTTTCATGTATTGCCTACTTGTTAAGTCCCTGTGCCTGTAAGAAAGGCGTAAACTGCCAGTAAGATTTGCTCCAACCACTAGCACGTCGCCCCTGCTTAGTTGCAAGACGATTCCCCTTTGTCAAAGGACTCAAAGTTGCGGCGCCTGATTTAGGAAGGCGGTGCTTTAGCAACTGCCGACCTTAGAGAGCAACTGTCAAATCTCGATGCGGCCTCCAGCCGCAAGGTCCCAGAGGCTGAACGCTCCCATCGCATGGGCCCACTGAGGGCTTCTGTGAACGGCTTGGATACATTTGGGGTTATATAGGGGATAATGGAAAAGAAAATGGAAACTATAGGGATTATAGGGACTATATAAGGGTATACTATTCTTGCTTGAGGGCCTTGTTGAACCTTCGCATAACCTGCTCGATCGGGCAGCCGCCATCAAAAATAAGAACCCCAATTATAGTAGTTTCCATTTTCTTTTCCATTATCCCTATATAACCCCAGTATAACCCCTATACAACCCCTATAACTACCCTATAATCCCAGCTTCCATTGAACCGTATATCGGCCTTGAGGTTTGCTCGGCCAGGAGTTGGGAAGTCACTCATTGTAAGCCGGAGGTCTGAATAGCATTACGCTTACTGAGCCAATGGAAGAACTTTTATTTTTTTTAGCCCTTCCTTTTTTGGATCTTCATGTTAAAGTTTGAACTTGTTTAACCCTGGTTCTTTGTGAAGAGAGTACGTAAGGGGGTCTTTGCAGAAGTTAGCAGTCTGGATTGGGTTCGCAAGGTTTTGTAGATTCGTACATAAGGTAAATTGTGCTTGCAAGGCCCTCGCCGAGAAGCAGCGAGCCGCCGAAGAAGCTGAGAAAGCAAAAATGAAGGCCCGTGATACCAACACCCAAGGGGTGTGGTTTAAGCTTACCCAGAGGGTCCATGTACCCAATAATTAGGTACTTGGGATTCGGGGAATAGTAATTATAGTACAGGTTGTGGGGAAGTATAGGATTATTAGGTACTTGGACCCTTAGGGTTATACTTTGCGCGCCTAAACTCCTGGACTACTTAGGATCTCAATTGTACTGTAGTCACTGGGGTATAAGGTATACAGGCGTGTGCAATATTTCCACCGCCACGGCCTAAACTCCCAACCCCAAACCCTGTTTAGGGTTTTAGGGTTT